GAAAATTGATCCAAAAATGTTTTCCATTTAGTATACGTGGATGAACTTACTCTTTCATCCCAATTAACACCTTCTAACCAAAGGTCTTGCAACAAAATTTTTGCCTGTATAATTAAAGGCGTTAACCACCCTGCTGGGTCAAATAATTTCGAAATGGTTGACAAGATTTTCCTTTTAGTTATCGGGGTAGTCACCTCTAGTGACTTCATATTATAAGAAAATGAGTCAGTTAAGGCATTCCAACGAATACCTAATGTCTTTGTTGAACTCATATCTATAATTCTTAAAAATTCTTCATTTAACAAATCTTCTGATCGGACATTAGAAAGAAGGGTCGGATGATTTGCCGTTATCTTCTTTAACGGAAATCCAGCCGAATTCAAAACACAAATTAATTGTTTTTCCGCCTCCAAAGCTGAGGCAAGAGTATGACCTCCAGTCAATACATCATCAACATATATCTCATTTTTAATTATTTTCGATGCAATTGGGTATTTATCTTTTGACTCTTCCGCCAATTGCAACAATGTGCGAATCGCCAAATAAGGTGCACAGTTTATACCAAAGGTAATAGTACACAATTCATAATCTTTAATATCACTCTGACCTTCTTTTCTAAATAAAATTCTCTGGTATTGCCGATCAGAATCATGAACACATATCTGTCGGTACATTTTCTCAATGTCACCGTTAAACACATACTTATACAGGCGCCAATTCAAAATTACAGACACTAAATCATTTTGTAATATTGGCCCTGTATGTAAAATATCGTTTAAAGAATAAGAGCTTTTTGTCTTACTCGATCCATTAAACACCACTCTCACTTTAGTACTAGAACTTTCTGGGCGAAAGACTGCATGATGCGGTAAATAATATGAAAAATATTTCCCACCAGTACATATTTCTCTTGATTCTGTGGGTTTCATATGACCCAATGACAAATATTCATTTAATACTTCATTATATGACTCCTCAAGGTCTACATTCTTGCTTAACTTTACTTCCATATGTTCATATTGTTTCTTTGCTTTGAATCTGGACGAATCTAGGTACATTTTTTGAGGAAATTCTTCTTTGAAAGGTAATTTACAACGAATCTTCCATCTGATCGACGGTATGTCGTGTTGGTGTAAAATTTCTCGCAATATTCGTCTGATTTCGTGGAAATGGGCACTTCACTTATTTCTTCTTGTTCCCAAAACTTTCTCAATAATTGACTAACGTCATCTTCAGAATTATTTTTTATTTCTATAGACGCTAAACAAATTTCATTGGCTGATATTGGCCCATAGATATACCAACCGTATATCGAATTTTGAGCTATCATATTGCCCAATATGTTCTTTCTAACTCCCTCTAGGATTATATATGGGATAACATCGCTACCTATAAGCATATCAATTTGAGCAGAAATCATAAATCCTGGATCTGCTAACTTCAAATCCTTAATACTTCCCAAATCTGAAATTTTAATAGTCTGCGTCGGCAATAAACTTGTCAAATTTTGCACAACTAATGCTTCTGCTTCAAATTCAGTTTCATTTATTTCTGAACACAACGTCAGAACACATTTTTTATTTGAATTAGCCACGACTGTTCCACTCAGTCCACTAATCTTGAAACTAGCTTTTTCAGTTAATATGCCAATTCGTTTAATTATTTTTTGAGTAACGAATGTTCGTTTCGAAGCTGAGTCAATGAGAGCTCTAACCGTAAATATTTCCCCAGAATATTTTACTTTTACTAGAGCTGTAGGCAGCATAACGTCATCATGACTTACTGACACATGTGTTTCCACATTAGAAGTTTGAGCTACAGAATTGGACGAACATGGCATTTCTTCTACAATATTCTCTGTGGTAACTAGAGCATTTGTTTGGCGTCCATTTTCAGAACGATAAGTGTTTTGACTTTCTCTTGCTACCAATCTTGGCTGTGTAGATCTCTCTTGAACGTTATTTGGTAAATGCAGTTTAGTGTGGTGTTTCTTTTTGCAAAACATACACCTATGCACACTAACGCATTCCTGAGAAATGTGTCCATAAATAAGACAATTGTTACACAATCTTTTTTCTCTTGCAAATTCAATTCTCTGATTTACACTCATACTATTAAATCTTGAACAATTCTTTAAAATATGATTTCTATTACACATGATACATCTATTCGATTGTGTCGATTGCGCATTTTGATGCGCTTGAAATTCATCATTAAAGGCAGTTGAAGCTGCTATATTTCTTAGACTGTCTATTCTCTCTAGGACTCTATGTCTGTTTTTAGAAAATCGTCCATTTGTGACCATTTGGGTAGCTCTGAATGTGATTCGAGCGATTGTTCCCAAAGAGTCAGAGTTTCAACCGGAAGCTTAGTTGAACACAAATATATCAAAATAGGATCCCATTGATCTACTTGCACCTTATGTGCTTTTAATATAGCTAGACAGTCGCTAACTGTTGATTGAATTCTTTTTATATCTCTGCTAGATTCAGTCTTTGCTGCCGAAAGATTGAATAAAATCTTTAATTGATTATCTACCAGTACCCTCACATTTTCGTATCGCACTGATAATGCTTCCCATGCCAACGAAAAATTCTGATCAGATAACGGGTACCGATCAACAATTCTACCAGCCTCACCCTTTGTTTTGTTACGCAAATGATAGAGTTTTTGCGCAGGTGTGAGTCTGGGATGATTTCCATATATGGCTGTAAACATGTCTCTAAAAGTTGGCCACTGTTCATAACTTCCGTAGAAGTCTTGAGTGTCACAAGGTGGCACTTTAATACAAATTTCCGACATGTCAAAGGTTGTACCCGGAGGATACACAGCTGAGCTGTGAAACAGTGACGGATTTGTAACATCGCCTCTAGCGGTATTATTTTGATTTTGTTTTCTTTTCTTCAAAATCTCTAATAATTTAGCTTTTGTAGTTTGATATTTGTCCCTGAGGGACTCAAATATTTTTCTGGCTTCTAATTTATAAGCCTTTTCTTCTTCTTCCTCTATTTCTGCTAAATATACACATTCAAATGCACTGCGTGCATTGTGCCAATCTTCATCAATGGATTCTAGTTTGGTTTCTATTAAAGAATCCGAAAATAGTTCCTCGGGAGTATTCTCCAATTGAATGCACATATTCATAAGGCTGTCGGTTTCGTATTCAAATTTAGCACAAATTGTTGAATCCATTTTGTTTTTCTATTTATTTTTTATGTATATTTATATGAGGTTTATTTATTGTTATTTATTATATTTTATTTACTTTTTTTTTATTATTATTTTTTTTATTATTATTATTTATTATACAAACAAATTATAATTATCACTTTATTTATTTTTAATAAATAAAATGAAATTATTTCCGTAAATGTTTTTGATTTGCCGTATAATATTATTTTTCTCAGCAAAGTTTAATTTGTTTTTAAACTTATTGAAAAAATGATTTTTTTGATTTTATGATTTGTTTATTTAATTATTATTATTATTATTTTAACTTTTATTATCTTATTATTTATTTTTATTCAAAATTATTTATGTGTATTATTATATTTTATTGATTCAATAATTTATGCAAAGTTTTATACGTTACGTCAGAAACTTGCGTTACGTTAGCGAGTAATTGCACAACTTTTCTGACCCAGCAGCTGATCGATAGTCGATATGGTAAGCACAACAGACGGATCGATCTGGCACAATAAACATATGTCAAAAGATTGTTTATTACAAATGGCACAAATGACGAATGCGACAAATGTAACACAAAACAAAATGAAATAAATGCCAAAAAAATGATGGAGAAAATGAAAGTGATTGTGGTGTTTTATAATGGTGTTAGTGTATGTGTTTTCGACAGTGTTAATAAACAATGAATACAAACAAATATCTCTTTTTTTCTAACTTCACACAAACGATTTCTTTTGGAAATGGCAGTGTTGATTTGTTGAATGTATGTGTGTCTACGACAAACAACACAAAAGCCGCCACATTCGAACACAGATGAAAACACAACAACACTTCTTACTACTTTCAAATTAATTTTAAATTAAAATTAGTGCTTTTTTTGGAAAATATTTTTGGCAAATAAGCCGATTCTTTATTTTTTGGACTCGAAGGACCATGTACAAGTTCCAATACCGTCGTATGGACTTGTTGTGGTTCAAATTCTACTGAGTAGATTTTGAGCCGGAATTTATTGTTGCACAAAGACGAACAACAATATTGTTTAGCGAACTACAAACAAACACAAAAGTATTCTGGCGATACTTACGTTTGTTGTCTGCACAAAAGAAAAAGCACTTTAATAATTATTATTTCAAAGTTAAAATGACTCTGTCGGTCAACTTTTATTTATAAAAAATTCACAATCTTGATCTGGCGATCCACTTTTCTAAACTTCAAGAAGAAGAGTGCCAACCAAAACTCCTTGACGATGTAACCTCATCGATAGTTTTAATTATCGAGATCGATAAGGTCCATATCGATATCATCGTCTATGGGGTTGGGTCTATTCCCAACAATCATCAAAATATCGAATATCAGGAGGTATCGTTATTTGGGCGTTATACCAAAACGTCGATCACATGACCCATTTTCAATACCAAAATTCCTGCAGACATAAAATACATTCAAGTAAAATTTTAACAATGTACTTCAATTCGTTCGGAAGCTAGAGTGATTTCCATAGACGGATAGACGGACGGACGTCGCTTAATCGACATAGAATTTTATGCTGATCAAGACTATAATACTAAAATGTAAAATGTCTAAAATGTATATTTCGAGTTGTTACAAACGAAATGACAAACTTACAGCCAGTTCCACGATATCGAAAGAACACATTCGCACAACTTTTACACGACAAACAGCTGATTTCTGTTCCACTAAAATCCATCAGAACGAAAATTTGCACGAAAATCAAAGCGAACGAAAACGTAAGCATTTCAGTGTAATTTTGCGTTCCACTATCTTTTTTCTGTCAAAATGTCAAAATCAGTCACTTGTGTGTTTGCTATCGTATAATAACAATTAAGGAAAAATTTTTTAACATAAACATTGCTTGATTGAAAATGGAAACAAAAATGTAAGTAAAAATAATAAATGCAATTTAATATGTGAACAACAAATATATATTTTTTTATTTTCTCAATTCCAGCACGAAAAAATCATCAACTACACAGCTGCGGGCACTAGTTGAGTATATGGAGGAGAATCCTGTGTTCGCCAGAGGAGTGCCAATTTTTGGAAGCAGCAGAAGTTTTAAATCGGGGCGGATTTGGGTAGTTCTGCAACCGGGCACCCACTTCTCTTCCATCATATCCAAAAAAAAACCGAAAACTTCCTTCGACACACGAAAATTGGCCACAAACCTAAAAAAAAACATTTTTATTATTTCAAAAATGTAAAAATACAATCATACTTACTGGTTGTTAGGTACTTCAAATAAATTCGAAGCATCTCTTAAATGCCTCCGTGGCACATTTTGAACCTCCTCCACATCATCCATATAAAATAGGGCTACGGAAATATTCCTTTTTTTATTTTCTAAGAGCACAAATAGTTTGAACACAATCACTAGAAATTTTTTTTGTTTGTTTATTTACAATTTGTTTGTTTACAACTGAAATGTCAGTTGAGACAGAGCCACTGCTGCTTTTTCGCGTTTAAATTAGACATTTGGCGCTTTTTTTGCCTTATTTCGCGATTAATTTTTCCAAAAAAAAATATTTAGCAACACTGAATCACGTAAGGCTATGCGAAAGAAAGAACAAAAGTTAGTGGAACGCATTCTTATACGAAAGTGAGTGAGTAGCCTTCGTTCGCACAAATTTTCTTTCGAGATCGTGGAACAGGCTGTTAATATACCCTCCATACTATGGTGGAGGGTATAAAAAGTTATATATTATGGGATTTGGTAATCAATTTATAAAGTGGTAAAACCTTACCTTATTAGAAGATTCTATATTCACGATTGACACACGATTGCTCTATGTATTGTGGTTGCCGTAGGTTGAAGAGTCTAGATTCAACTACCTGATTATACTACCAGTTTTAGAAAACTTTCAAAAATTGGACCTGGATTATAAGACGATACTGATGAATAAACCCAAAATTTATGGTGGTAAGGACAAATGTATTCTCTAACCAACGGTATGGTATGTAAAAAGGAAATGATTAATCAGTTGCCAGAAAAATATTGCCTGCGACGACTCCTGAAGGTTGGTAAACAGCTTGCCGCCCAGTAACAAGTGCAGATTCAAGTGTCGAACTACTTAAAGACGCTATTCCTGGATAACTTTAACAGCAGCTTGAAGTCTCCTTCATTCTACAAATGGAAAATGAATCCTTGACAATCAATAATAAGAGGTATCGGAGTATGACAAGTTCTGGCGTACAAGTACTCCCTTCGTTCCTAACCAGCATCATGAATCAAAGCCTATCCGTAGACCTTAACCCAATACACGAAATGGTACCAACATGGGTCATGGCGTCAGGATCCTTTGGCCTTTTTGTACTATTGGGGCTTATTTGTTAATCTGGAGAATATTGTCAATATTGCATCGAAACGCTCCTTCCTGTCTATTCCTCAAAGTGGACCAATATGACCCATATTCTGTAGCAAATATTCTGGATGTAATGCAAAGATTTCTGTAAAATTTTATGGTACTATATATGATAAAAACTATAGTGTCTTTACTAGAATGTCCAATCGATTAATCGTTGTTCAATAAATCGGAAAATTTTTTTTCGAATAATTTTTCGATGAAGAAAAATTACTAAATTTCGAATATTGAATAATCGATTAATTTTAACCGATTAATCGATCTAAAATATTTTAATACATTTTTGATTTCTGATTTTTTGATCAAGTGTTTGTGTTTTGTTTACATATAAATTTATGGTTAAATTTCATGACGCACATTCACTTGAAGAAAAGTGAGAATTTCTATATGAAATAAATATAAATTTAATTTAAACATTTGTTAAGCAAACCACATTGTCAAAGTTTTTAATATGACATACAAAAAATGATACAAATAAAAATAGTTTTTTCTTTAAGAATGAGTTTGTTTGGGCAACTTTTTCCAAAAGATGGAAACAATACAAAATGCAACAAATGTTCCAAAGATTACAAAATTGTATGTGCCTCCACTTCTACGCTTATTTGTCATTTGCGTCAAGTGCATAATACTATTATAGATGAAGCACCATCTGCTAAAGTCACAACTGGGCCTATGACTAAATATATATAAAAATGCATATTGTTTTTAAAGCATTATTTTAAAAGATCTGACTAAAAGCATTTTAAATAAACAAGATCTCATTTCATATTTACCTAATTATTTTGTTAAACGTTGTTGAATTCACTTGAATTATTATTTTATGTTTGTTTGTGTTTTTTTTTTTTTTTTTTTTGGAATCGGTTATTGATTACGCCGTCACGACGAGGTTGGTACGATACCTGTAGTATGCATGTACCATTGCTGTGTAGTCGATTGTTAGTTATCGATAATTATTTTGAGTTCCTTGTTGTTTTCCATTTCTTTTGTTCTTGTAGTGTTGTGATATGAGTGATGTGATTCCGGGTTATAGCTGTATGTGGTTTTTATGAATGAAGTCGCACAATTCACGAAAGTTTTCACAGGCAAAACTTTTGAGTACTGCAGGTAAGTTTGAAAATTTTGTAAAGAAATTGTAATTCATTCTGTCATTATTGTATTTAGGGCAGATAAAAATCTGGTGGTTTTCCGTGTTTGGCGTGTTGCATATTTCGCATAGGTTGGAGTTTTCAGCATTGATGAGGGACAGGTAAGTTTTTTCCATATGTATGACCAGTGAGAAGTCTGTTTATAACCTTAATTTCTCCAGGTGGCATGTTGAATCCTGAAAACCAATGGCGGTTTGGTGGCTCTGGGAAGAATTGTGAGAAGTAAGTGCCTTTACTGATTGAAATATGTTTATAATTCTCCTTCCATTCACTCCATAGATGTTGGTGGATTAGGGAGCGAGCATCTTTTATCGACAGGCCTGTTTGTATGATTGAACCGACTTCAGCTGCATGTTTGGCGAAAAAGTCTGCACGTTCATTAGCAGCAATGCCTATATGCGAGGGAATCCAGATGATGGTGAGTTGTGTTAGACTTGAGTTGTTTACCTTTTGTAGAATATTGTTGGCCAGGTAGTTTTGGGTATCATTTTGTTTTAAAATTAGACATGCATTTTTACTATCGGTAAGAATGGTGGCTTTTCTGATGTTGTCTTCTATCATTATGTCTATTGCCTTATTGATGGCGTGTAATTCTCCCATAAGTGATGACATTTTTGCCGGTATTTTGAATAAGAAGTTTTGATTTTTTGAGATATTGCATATTGCACAACCAGTCGTAGTACTGGAAATCGAGGCATCGGTTGCCCATATCGTGTGTCCTGTGTTTTGAAGTCGTTCAGTTTTTTCTTGCAATATTACTCTATAAAATTCATTGGGTTGTGTATTTTTTGTAGAGTTAAATAAGTTTAAGAAGAAAGTGAATTTACTGCTGGGATATTCTCTCTGATTCACTATAGTTTCGTCGAAAATGTGTTTAAATTTCATGTAGATTAAACCCAAACTGGTCTTGTTGGTAGGGTTGTTTGTAATATTTTGGTATAACTGTCGGTTGTGACACTTAAATTTTATTAATTCCTTTGCGGTAAGATACTGAGATCGTTGTTCTGGTGGTAACATCACAGCTAGTGCGTAGATTGCCTGCACAGGTGTTGACGGTGTTAGACCAAGACTTCTTCTTAACATCTGATTTTGAAAAGTTGTAAGCTTTTTGTTCAAATACGTTGGCATATGAGCCATTGAAGAAATACAATACTCTGTTTTCGAGAAGACTAGTGATTTGGCTAGATTTATTGATATATTTGGAAGTAAACCATGTTTTAAATTGTTGATCATTTTATTGCATTCAATGAAGAATTGCATGAGTGAATAACTTCCTCATAATGCTCTTTCAGGGATAAGCTGTTTTTAATGTGTCTTCCTAAAAACTTTATGCTGCTGACAGGTGTAATTTGGGTACCTTGTAAGGCGATGGATGGTATTTTTCGCGGACCTTTAGCTATATACATAACGGACGTTTTATTAGTGTTGTAGGTGAGGTTCAGGCGGGATAATAGAAATTGAAGTTCGATGGCTTTTTGTTGCAAATTTTGATTAGCCAATTCGAAATGCTTATGAGCTGATAGTAATACAAAATCATCTGCAAATTGAAACAAATGCGTGTTTTCATCAGATATCCCATGTAGACCAAGGGTATATATATTAAAAGGAAGGGGACTTAGACAACTGCCTTGTGGTAGCCCGTTGTAGATTTCAATTGATTCATTTCCCATTACGATGGTTCTTTTGCTTAGAAAATTTATGATCCAATCAGCGATATCTGTCGGACAGTTAATTTCACATAGTATTTTGAGAAGCATTTCTATTCTGACACAATCATATGCTTTTTCAACGTCTAGAGATAGAATTATAACTTTCTCACCTTTGCTTTTGTAGTAGTTTATGGTGTACAGTAAATTGTTAATACACATTGAAGTTGACAGATGTTTTCTATATGCAAAAGTATTTGTTGGCAAAATATTTTCTTCATCAATGAATTGTTGCAAACGCTCTTTTACCATTAAGTTTATTATTTTAAACGGGACAGATATTAGAGCAATGGGTCTAAAATTTGTGAACAATTCTAGATCTTTGCCCTTTTCGGTATTGGGACAATTTTATTTTCCTCCATTCATCTCTGATTTCACATTTCTTCCAAGAATAGTTTAATGCTTCAAAAAAGTTGGTCTTTGCAGAGTCAGATAGATGATTTATCATTTCATAAGTTATGCCGTCTGGGCCAGCAGCAGAGGGTTTCTTCTTATTTTTTAACACCAGTAAAAATTCTTCCATTGTGAAAACGGATCGATTATTAACAGATTTACAGACATAATTTAATGGATTGTTGTCCGTTACTTGGTCTTTTAGATGAGATAGAAATAGTTTATTGTTGTTTGGAGACCATTTGCCTTTAACATTTGATGATAAACTGTTTTTGCACCCTCGAATAAATTGAAAAAGATGTTTTGAGCTGGGTTCTTTATTTAGATTTTGTATCTTATTTTTGAAGGTGTGTTTTTTTGGCAAATTGTACTGCATTTTTGAAGTTTTTTATCTTTTCAATTAGATTTTTTGCGTTGACATCATTGCTACATAAGTCATATGTTTTTTGAGCAGCTAGTGGAAGTCTATATTGTTTTTCCACATAAGAATCCCACCAAGCTTTTGGTGTTTTATTTCCTTTTAAAACATATGTAGATTTTCTGATTTCGCCTTTTATCGCAGATTGTATATCTTCAAAGTTTTTGTTTAGTTGTATCTGACCAAGATTTCTCATTAATTGTTTTTTTGCCAAAAAATTTGTCCTTTGGACTTTGTTTTGTTTATATTCAAAATTACAGGGTAGTGATGGCTTCCACCGATCATGTTTCTAAAAGTGTTCCATTGTATTGGCAAGATTGTGTTGGTGAAGGATAGGTCTAAAACAGATCCACCCAGATCATTTATATTTTTTAAAAGTATAGTTACCATTGTTTAGGCATTGAAAATTGGAGGCATCAAAGATCTCTTTTATTGTTTTTCCCCGCTGTGAGATAAAAGAATCACCGTAAGCTGTATGTCTAGCATTGAAGTCGCCACATATAAAAGTGTTGATTTGGTTATCAAGCAGTAATATTAATTTAGCTAGTTCTTTTTTATTGTTGCACATCTCACTGAGTGTGGGAAATATATGGATACCAGAGTTAAATTGTTTGTTAAATTTGTGGTTTGGCAGATGAGAATATCCAAAAGTGTTTCGAAAGGGATCTTTTTGAACTGTATATTTTTTTGAATAGTAGGGCAACTCCACCATAGTTGTCACTTCTTTTTTTGGAGATTATATTATAGTTTTGTATAGATGAAGAATTTTGACTTTCGTCTATATTAAATATTTCACTCAGAATACATATGTCTATTTTTTGCTTTTTAAGAAAGAATTCTAGAAAATTCTTATTTTTCTTTAGACTTTGCACATTATATTGTAATAAGTTCATATTTTTTAATTATAGTTTTTATTGTGAACTTTCAGATTCTGTATTATTTATTTTGAGTGTATTATTGATGTTAATAGATGCGTTGTTTAATCCAGACGGGAGCAGTGATTGCTGGAATTTATTTAATATATTTAAACCTTCGGCACTATTTAGTGAGGTAAGGACTTTTGACATTTCTTTGGCAAACTGTGTTAATGTTTTTTCTATTTCAGATACTTTTGAAAAACTTGCTTGTTGGAAAATTGGTTGAGACGATGTTATTTGAATCGGACTGGCTGTGACGTGATGAATTGGATTTCTAGGTGACGCAACTTTGCTGTATTTTAATTTTGTGACTCTTTTATTATCTCCTCATAAACGCTTCTTTTTGGAGTTTTATTCTTATTAAGAGGGGGAAAGGCAGTGTTAAATTCATCTTCTGAAAGTATTTGGAAACGGTTTTGGGCTTCAGGGTATTTTTGAACGACTTCTTTTCTTGATAGATTGGAAAGGGCCATTATACTTCTTATGTTTCGTTCTGATTTCCATCTTGGACACTGTTTTGAATCAGTTGCAAAGTGGTCAATACTATTGCAAAGAATACATCGTGGAGAGTTGCATACATCTTTACATGTTGTAGTTGATAGACATTCTCGACATTTTTGCTCTTTTGGGCATTGATTAGGGCATATGATAAATTTACCACAGTTTAAACATTTTTTTCGTCGACCTGCAACGAATCGATATGTGTCCTAGACGTCCGCAGTTTAAGCACAGACGAACAGGAGGCACATACAGCTCTGGTGAGATTTTTGTACCGCACATGAATATTTCGGTGGGTACACCATCGTAAATTATACCGATTTTAATAGTTTCGGAATGTTCAATTTTGTTATTTTCAGTTTTCTTGTAAAGCGGTATACTGAGACAACGTCCATATCATTATTTGCTTCAATTTGTTGCTTAATTGTAATGGCATTAATGCTTGTTGGTACGTTTTTGATTATATAAAATCGTTGCACAAATCTTTCTGGGATAAACGCTTTGAGATCAATTACTTTTAAATTTGGATTTGTTGCAAAAGAGTTTGCCGAGCTAGCATTGTTGAAAGTTAATCTAAAAAGATTGTAGCCAATATTCTTGCAAGCATAATCAGTGATGTTAATCTTTTGGAATCTTGCATAAAGATGTAATTCACAATTCTTCCTCCTTGTACTGATTGGTGTTTCTGAGGAGACTAATACATGGAAAGGGCCAGGGTGATATGTCGGATATAAAATGGTTTCCTTGTTTAAAGAGTTGTAATTGTATTGATTTGATATTTCATTATTTGTTGTGGGTTCTGTGTTTGTGTTAGATGCTTTAACAGGTGTTCCATTATGGGTTTTAAATGTTTTTGTTTCATTAGAAATACTTGGAGCTCTTCTTTTATTTTGTTCCCCCGGTGGAGGAGGTGGTATAGGCGGAGGAGGAGGTTCCCCTACTCCCCCCATTGTGCAAATATTAAAAAATTATTTTATCTTTGTGTATGGGATTTTACAAAGAAAAAAAGGAAAAAACTCGGTATCAATAACTTATGTTTGTGTGTGTGTTAGCGGTATTTGTTTATTTGTTTTTGTTTTGAAATAAAAAAGCGACCAGCGCGAACAAACAGTCTAGTGTCAACAGATGTTGATGAGCGACTGTTTGTTTGTGTTTTAATATAATT